AGCCGGGTGAGCCCCACTCAAACCTCCTTGTCCTTTCCATTCAAGCTTCGAAGTCTCTGTCTTGCCTTATGTCTTCTTCAAGACTACTACTCAATCTCTCACTCTATTTCAACAACCACCCTAAAAGAGTTTTATCAGTTAGTTAGAATCAAGATACAAATTAGTACACTAGAACAAAATTTTAAAAGAGGCTACCTAATTACATTTTCACTAAATTAATAATTAGCTAAAAATTAAACATAAAATAAATAAATGGATCATCAGAGCAGAGCATTGGTTGATTTGCCAGGGATTGTTTGTTGAAACAGATTGAGAGATTGAGGAATACCCTTGAGGAGGAAATAAGGCAGCGAATGGAGTATATGTCGAAGAGATATGAAGACAGAGTTGGCTTGAAGGTTGAAGGTTTTCTTCTGTTAGCTTGAAGGTTGAAGGTTTTCTTCTCGGTCACTGTTTCCTCTGTTAGCTTGAAGGTTTTCTTGGGGCGAGGAGATGAGAGAGATGTTGGAGGAAGCTCAGGCCCTGCAACAATGAGGCACTTGTGTTCGTGCTAGCTTTGTGAAGCTGTTGTTGGGTCAGTGAACCTGTAAAAAAGGATAGCTTGAAGGTTTTATTGGCGCGAGGAGATGAGAGAGATATTGGAGGAAGCTCAGGCCCTGCAGCAATGAGGCACCTGTGTTTGTGCTAGCTCTGTGAAGCTGTTGTTGGGTCAGTGAACCAGTAAAAAAAGATAGCTTGAAGGTTTTCTTGGCGCGAGGAGATGAGAGAGATGTTGGAGGAAGCTCAGGCCCTGTTGGATGATAGCTGGCATGGAGTGAATTAATAGGAGTCTTTATGATGAGAGTGGTGTTGGTAAAATATATGCTTCATGTGACATTTAAGATATAACAAACCTTATACTAATATGTCATGAGATAATTAACAATATGCTAAGAAATCATTAATTAAATATGCAACTCTATATTTAATTAAATATGCAAAATAAATTAATGAAATAATAATTATAAATAAAGAATCTGGACCGAGGCTAGTATTAGATACTATGTCCTTAAGACAGATTCGCCCCGCTATGGTGCTAACGGACTCAGTGGCGTCTATTTCCTAGGATACAACGGTCTACATTCACCAGTAGCAGCACTACAAACTCGTGGATACGGCGAACCTCCTCTGTGTAATACTCTCTCTGACTCAAAAATGCATCTATACTATATAAATGCTGAATTGGGTGCAATTCGAATCAAATGGTTCGGACCAATCTTAATATAGCTCGATGAAATTGGATTAGGGTCTAAGTGGTTCGAACCACTTAACCTATGGTTTGAACCCACTTGGGTTGGGTTCAACTCTAGAGAGGGAGATAAAAGAAAATGAAAAATGAACAACTTGCAAATGATCCAAAGGGGGGTATTTATAGAAACAGAAATGTCTTTTCGGATGGGGTGTATCTCTTCATTATTGGACACAACCAATGCAATAGGTTGCAATGGTTCACATAGTGTCTGTTCACCACTAGACACATCTATTCTAATAGGTTACAATGGTTCACATGGTGTCTATTCACCAATAAACACATCCATTCCAGTAGGTTGCAATGTGCCTTTTCGAGTGGGTGCAACCATGGGTTATGATGGTTCGAAAAAAGGTGTAACTCTTTGAAAAAAACTAAAAAGTGGTTTTTTAATTTAAAAGGTATAACCCTTTAGAAAAACTAAAATATGGTTTTTTTAATTTAAAAAGTGTAACCTTTTAGAAAAACTAAAAAGTAGTTTTTTTAATTCAAAAAACCAACCATCCAAAAAACCCACCCATTTGTGAAACTCATTTAAATAAGCCCAACCCAAAATTAGGCCCAATCCAAAATTTCAAAAAGGAATAATCTGGACTTTACAATTAGGTCCAGGCCCAGGCCCAAGCCCAAGCCCAAGCCCAAATCCTAAACTCAACTTATTTAAATTTCAATTTATTTCAATATTTTTTTCCATGTGGGACAAACACTTCCCACATTTTACATACCCGTTTAGGCTTATCAAAACACCATACTTTGGAACTAATTTCTCATTCACCCGGAAACGGATTCAAGAAAGTAAATATACCACGTTCATCTCCTTGAGGAGAAAAACACGTTCATCTCCTTGAGGAGAAAAACACGTTCGTCTAGAGATCCACAAAAAATTCTTAGCAAAATCTATTTCATATCTCATTCAAAATTTATGTTTTTAATACCCCGTTTTCAACAAGTGGTGCATGAAGTGAATCTTTTCCTTTGATATGAGTTTATTGATTTTTTGCTCTTTTGGGGTATTCCATTATACATTGTTTCAGAGAATTGCTTTTACACTTCATACTAAAAGGCTCATACTAGCAATCAATGTGACATATATGGTTCTGATTCCCTATCCTAGCCTTTTTGTGTTGGTAGTGCTGCAATGCATACAGATTACATTTTTGTTGTCCATACTTTCTTCTTATTTTCTTTCAAAGGTCTTCTAACAAGAGGATTTCTCACCCGTACTAACTTTATGACACGTGTGAGATTTTAAGTCCCGGACTTGTACAACTGGGTATTCAAACTCACAATCGGTACAATTCGTCCTGACTTACCAACGCTAATTTGGTCCGTGTACCTTTTTTCTTTTTTGCTTTACACTAATTTGGTCAAGTTCAGAAGAGTAGCTTTGTATGTAGATAAGAGGGTCTATGCACAAATTAATGGAAGTTCCAAAAGTTTTATTTTCACTGGTCTTGTCTCTCTCTGCAACATTCAAAAGCTTTCTCAGACCTCTCTCATTTTCTCTCCCTCACACAAAATTCCCCTCCTGCCCAATTGTTATGTTTGTTTTGTTTTTTATTTTTTATTTAAAAATAAAAAATAAAAAAATCTCTATAAAAATAGATGAGAAGGCTCACTTGAAGCAAACTAACTCAGCTGTGTCTATCCTTATCTTAAAAATAAAAAATAAAAAAATCTCTATAAAAATAGATGAGAAGGCTCACTCGAAGCAAACTAACTCAGCTGTGTCTATCCTTATCTTCTCCCTACCCCCACTCTTGTAATATCTCGTTAATAACCTAATAATATTGACATTTGATTAATTTTTCTCATCTTGAAGATTGAACAAGATGCAATAGCATAACTTGGAGTTGCCAAAAAAGTATGGTGGAAGTCTGTTAATGTTGTCTTCAAACTTAGAGTTATTTTTAAATTTTAGTTTTTTTTTTAAAAAAAATATATATATATATATATATAATAAAAAATAAAATCAAACAAACTTTAATATTAATTCCTGTTTCTCTATCATATGAACAATTTGTGGACAGAATGGGCTGTGTTTAAAAAATGCTAAAATGGGGTTGTAGATGGAAATAATCTGTTGACAGAATCATATGATTAAATGACTTCATTCAGAGCCAAACCTTCTTTTTTGGGGAATGAAACAAGTACAGAAAAATAATGAAGGATTTGAGACCAAAGACAACCTTATAATGTTTTCTCCTTAATTTCTTTTAGTATTTTTTTTTTTTTTTCCTTCATAAGTAGCACAATATGTCAAGGAGTACTGTTTTAACTCCTTGGTATAAGTAGCACTTTGAAGCCAAAAAGTTATTAGCAGAGCGTGTTGATTGTGAATGCTTGGGTGTGATTTTATTTATTGAAAAACAAAAAATGTATAGGATGGATTTACCTGTAAATGAGTTTTTTTCTCTATTGTCTTGGACAAATATATGCTTAATGGTTGCAGTAATAAAATCATTATTCTAAGGCGTGTTTTAATGGACCTAGGTTTTAATGGTTGTAATTTTATAAAAGTGGTTTCAATTCATTTTACAGAGAAGTTGAATAAAGGTAAGATTAACAGGATAATAAATTAATAAGGTATGAGTTGACAGCGGTGTTTTCGGAATAATGGAAATGAAGAACAAATGATAACCCTAATGCTATATTAGTTAGGAAAGAAAAAAATTGGATGGAAGAGAGAGAATAAAGAATTAGTATTTCCTTCTTTTTGTTTAATTTGATATAAGAGAAGATAATAAGCTCCTAATTTACAATATTAGTTAGGAGAGAAGGAATGAGATTATTTTAATTGTTTTTACCATTATATCCAATAATATTTATAATATTGTAATTTATAGGAGATAGTACTGTAATTTAAAACTTGTTTAAATTAAGATAGTATCTAATTTAAAACTTCTATAATAGTCTATTTGTCTTCCCTCCTTTCTTCCGCTCATTTTTGGGGGATAAAAATTTGTAAATGAGGATTCTCCTTTCTTTCCCTATATCATTTCTAACGAACAAAGAAAATAGGTCTATTTCTTCCTATTTTCTCTCCGCACCTCTTCTTTCCTTCATACGGAACACAACATAAAAGCTAAAAGCTAAGAAACAGGAGGTACCATTTGCATGCAGATTTTGTTCGTCTCAATTCTCAAGGAAAAAAACATGATCACTGAAGATCGGTTACAGTTTTGAACACCATAGTGATTGTTTGTCACAGAATTAAGCTCAATGATTGTGTTCCATCAGATTATTTGTTTCTTATGATTTTTAATTGCTACATGATATAGGGTTTGTCCAGTCTGTCAATCTGTAAAGAAGGATAGCGTGTAGGTTTTTTTGGCCTAGCTAGGAAGTTGCAAATCACAGAGAAGCTAGCTAGGGTCTCCTGCATTGGAGATTTGGTCTTTATGATGAAAGTTGTTGATTTGGTCCTTCGACACGAGTTTATTGATTTTTTTGCTCTTTTGCTATAATAAATTGAAATTGAAGTGCTTCTATGGCTGTTTAGATCTTCTCTTCTTTTTTCTTGTATTTCTTGGCTTTATTGCTTCGAAAGCCAAATTTGCAATGTATAGAAGACCAGACTTGCAATGCATAAATATCAGTTCCAAACTTGCAATGTCTGATAAAAACCAGCAGCAGTTTAGCGTCTCACATGCCAAGCCAAATTCAAAGTGTTCCAAGTGATTTTTATCATATTTGAATCCAGCAAACCAACTGAAGGTAAAAATTTCATTTCACTCGCCTGAACAGGTTCAACAAAAACTTAACAACTCTACAGAACAAAGAACTGATAAATAATATATTGAAAAAAAAAAAAAAGAACCCTATGTGGTTAAACAAATAATACAACACACTCCCTCGTACGAGAAGCAAGATAGGAGGAATTGACAACAAGACCTTGTATGAAATGGTTTTCCCCCCAGCTGAGTGAGTTCCCAACATAGATATCAAAGAAAAAAATTCCTCAGCGACTGTGAGCTATTTGACTAGAATGTAGCGTATATGAAAATGGAACTATTTAGAATTTAAGAAGTCAATTTGAAAGAACTGAATAAACTGCCTAACAGCAGCACAAATAAGTAAGAACCGATTCCTTTCTTCGAGCAACCCAACACCACAGTTGATTCCTTCAGCTGGATGCAACAGGTTTTGAGATGGCCTGTTTTATAGCCTCGGCATATGTCCTGTGTTGATAGGTAAGGGTGGATTCAAGCAAGTCCCAAAGTGATGTGTTAGGGTTCCAACCTGGCATTCCCACAAAACCGAAGCTCAAGTCAGAATGTGATGAGCCTCAAAAAAATAATAAAAAACCGAGCGAAGAAACAAGACAATACCAAGTTGTCTATTGATTATGGTCATGTCTGGGATTCTCTTGTCACTGTCATCATACCCTTCACCATAGAATTCTTTGGAGCTTATATCAATTGTAGGAGATTCGATAGAGGGTTCTCCACTTACCTTTGCGTAAACCTATCATTTGCAAGAACAAGATGTCACAAAATTTGATGGAACAAGCAGTGCGTATTATCAGGCATGAAAAATGAATCTAAAAAAAAATATTTAAATTAAGTTTCAAGAATTATTTACCTCAGTCATCATCTCAGCAAGCTGCTTGACTGTAACTTCGTTATTGGGGTTGCCCACATTGAATATATGACCATTAGCCCTGGCTGGGTTTTCCTGAGAAAAAACAGACAACTAAACTACTGCTTCTGTAAAGCAAACAAGAAATCAAAACGAAGGAAAGGATATCGAACGCACAATCATCAACAGAACAGCTTCAATAGCATCCTTGATATAAACAAAAGTTCTCTGTGACTGGCCACCATCCACAAGCTTGAGTGGCTCTCGCCGTAGGAGATTCTGCAGGAGAAGATTTAAGATTTACATCAAAGTTTTATACACAACTGTATAACATACATCGTGATTCAAATCCATAATAGAAATTGAACTAACATTACTAAAGCATGCCAGAACCCTAGGAACACCCTCACTGGGACCATCAATGCCAGGAATGAAATCCATCCTGGGACCAATCCAGTTAAAAGGCCTCACAATAGTGAATTCAAGGCCATTCTCTGCACCCTCAGCTGTAAACAATAAAAATAAAAAATAATTAAAAAAAAAAAGGAGAATGTGAGAAAAATATGCTTAAAGTGTCTATTTGGAAACACCCATCAATTGATAAGTTCACTAACCATAAATCAGCCTCTCAATCAATTGTTTTGCACAGGCATAGGACCACCTCTGCTTCTCAATAGAGCCAAAAATGCAGGGGGAGGTATCTTCTTTTAAAACATAGTAATCAGGATCCTATTTCATCATAAAACACAGAACAGCAACATTTGCAACAGTAAGGAAAATAGGCTTACAGGAACAATCAAAAACAGTTTACCAAATCGAACAATTCAAAAGTTTCTCAGTTTTCTGATAAAAGAAAAATAGATATCAAAATTCATAATTCATGGAGATGAATGTTGTGCAAACTACAAGACAAAGACGATATGTTATTTACATGTGCAGAAATAATAGTTAAAAAACCACCTGCCAAACCATAATCCGCATAATAATACCATCAACCAGCATTACCCAGCAATGCTACGACATGTACATATGTATACGTGTGTATGTAACACTCCTGACCCAACCGACACTTGTATCCTACACCTTCTGGAAGTGGCAGCAGATAATGGATACCACTCTCAAGCTAATAGCTGGCGGTGGTGGTCAAAACAATATTTTCAGAGAACAATAAGAGTATATGAAATTTACAGAAATTCCCATCGATGAATCCTTAATTCCACACAAAATTATAAATCCAAAACAAAAGATTATTGATAAATAAACCCCAATAATCAAATTAGATATTGTAGTCCAAGAATGTTTTTAACTCAAAATGAAGATTGTCATACATTGGTGAACCATATACTAAAATACATGTTTTCTGGTTTATAAATTTCTTTACACGTCTCAAAATGAGGTGATTCATGCAACATGGCAAAAACTGTGAATGGGTTTTATATTAAAAAGAGGAGGGGGGTGGGGGGGTGGGGAGAGAGGAGAAGAGAACTAGTATTTGGATGATCTGACCTCATGTGATCGATCCAGTTCAAATAATCTTCATATGCATGAAATTAATTAAACCTAAAACAATCATACGCGGCCATTTGCACTCTTCCACTAAATCAAGTACCAGTTAGGGAATAAAATTAATGTGAAAAAGATTAAATCTGTACTTACCAACACTTCCTTTCAATCTTCCCAAATACTTTTTCAATTTACTCCCCCAAGCAAGCTTTACATAATTAATTATTGGCCAGAGAGCTCCAATAAAACCTTACACAATCATGTGAATCCACACGAAAATTACAAGTTCCACAGCCCCATAAAACCCCTTCATTGTTCTCCTAACATAAATATGGCAGACCATTACTAATTGTACTAACAGCCCTTCATATTCCTCATAATTTTTGCAGTTCCTTTACATCTTATGCCATAATTGGTTAATACACAACTTATCAAGAAAAAGAAAATGATTCGCTAATACACCTATTATCACTGATTTGTCATAGCAACCTCTGAAATTTACTCTGAACAAGCAGGTTCCAGCTAAAATCACTTCAGACTTTAAAAGGAACCAAGCTATCTATCTTACTGGAAGGTAAATGACATGCACCTTGCTAGAGGAAACTATGTTAATCCCTGCAAATTGTGCACAATGTTCAAATGAGGGAGCATAATTTATTATAATTAGGCCACCCTTCTAAAAACACTCTCCACTCGAAACTAGCCAATTACATCCTTGTATCACCTCCTTCCCACTCAAATCTCACCACAATAACATGTGCAGTTTAGGATCTCAGGAACCAAACATATATACTATGTTTTGTGTTAAAGCCAAATCATCCTTCTTTGAAGTAAAACTACAACTTCAATCAAAACTGATATCCAAAAAGAAAGAAAATGTTCTAAGCAATTTCTCCCGTACTACAAACAACATAAAAAGAAGCACTGGAATTATAATAAAATGCCTGATCTAACAACTATAACAATACAACTATCCCTCTCAAAGGGCTCCCTCAGTCTACCAATCCCAAAAAAGTAACTTTCCAATGATTACGCCATTCAAGTATGACAAGAATATTTGGGACCCCATTTATGGTGGGGGGTGGGGGGGTGGGCTGGGGGGTGTTCAGTCCTTTCTAAAAACACTGGGTACACTATTTTCACCTTTGCTATAGATAGCTTAAGGATTTAATTAATGTTTGCAATTTTAAATACAATAAGAACTACTTAACTCGCGATAAATTTGGATAAACATATAACTATAACTTCTGAAATTTGCTAAAGAACGAGATAATTCCTGAAAATGTTTAAGCAAATTGCCCGTGTTAAACTTTTATGATACCTATTAGTCAGAAAATAAAAGTTAGAAAATAAATTACAGGTCAGCATAATTGAAAAGTTTGTTTGAATAACTGAAATCGTCAAAAAAAAAAAAAAGTACTCGCTTGCTACAGATCTGGTAATTTGAGATGAGTTTGGTTCAGGAGTAAAAAAGGGGGAAAAGTGACCCCTCTGGCTTTGGATATATAAACACTCCAACTTAAAGGAGATCTAGCAATTCCTTCTCAAAGAAAAGAATAATGTACACCACGACAGAAAAGAGAATCAGAAGTATACGAATTGACCAGAGAACCGGAAGATTGAGAATGAATTTTTTTTTAAATCCATGCTTTCTTTGCAATTTTTGTAATTTATTCAATAGATTCAGCTAGTCATGTAGATCAACTGTCCGATCCAACTGCGCATGGATTTCTTATTGGACAAAAATAGAGAGAACAAGGAAAAAAAATGATGCCTCTGAAAATAGATCATAACAGCATTATCAAGAAAATCACAGATCTTTAAAATTGGTCTCAAATTGAGAAAACAAAATAGAAACAGAAAGCCTTACCTGCCGCAGAGGGTGATCTTTAGGAAGAAAACTTCCAATTGTTTTCCCATAGACTTCGCAAGTAGAAAAGTGAATGAGTCTCTTGTTGTTATCCGAACAGTACTTAACCTAAAACCAAAGTTCCACATCAATCACACAACTTACTCATCTCTAAGACAAAGGTCGACTTTATAAATAAATAATGTAAGGTAAAATGTCAAACATCAACCCAATTCACATCAAAACAGGTCACTTCAATCCATTAACAGAACAAGCAAATATTTGACAACATCATGAACAAAACACGTAGATCCAAAATGCATACCACAGGGAGCGCATCAATGAAATTGCTGTAGATTGTATCCAGAGGGCGTGTGTTGTAATCCGCCGGAGTACAGATCGCCGCTAGATTTATAGTCTACATCACAAGAAAATCCACAATTCAGTATAAACACGAGTCTTCAAACCGATCGTCATCAACAACAATTCAGAATAAAGATTAAAACCCACATATTTTAAGAATAAATCCGAGGCAAAAGAAAGAATGCCAAAAGAAACATCGCAGTAAGAGAACCACAAGAGAGAAACAACATATTCAAAATAAAAACTTAAATTGTGCATAATTTAAGTATCAAATCTGAACTTAATAGCGAACAATCAGAAAGCGCCTAAAGTTTTAGAGAGTGTGTGTGTCGTAGAGAGGGAAAGAGTACCAGATCTGCCATTTTGATGAGTCCTTCGAGCCTGGAATCGTTCTTGATGTTGATGCGGTGGAAGTGGATGCGATCGGACCAGGGATTGGAGGCCGGTTCGAGAAGGTGCTTGATCTTGTCATTGTACACATCCACCGCCAACACCTTGTGCGGCGTCTCCGACATCAGCTTCTCGCAGAGGTGCGAACCTATGAACCCTCCGGCACCAATCATGCAAATCGTAATCGGCTTGATTGGATTTCCGTCCAGATCTAACCTAGCCACCGCCGACGACGCCATTCTCTCTCTCTAGGCTCGAATTACTTTCTCTCTATATAAACGTCACTTTCTCTCTCTATATCTATCGATTTCCTCTTTCTCTCTCTAAAATAGACTGTATCCTCGTCGGCAAGAACGGGGGTTTTTTGAGTGGTGTATGAAGGGGTGTGTATTTAAAGCAAGAAAAAGGAGGGAGGAGGACGTTCTCAGAATCAGTGGCCCAACTATATTCACTGTGATTTATTTCTATATATAAAGCTTTCGCGTGTATAAATTTCTTTATACTCGCTTTTTTATAGAAGCCACGTATACAGTTGCAGCTATATTACGGTGGCCTTGAAAGCACTGGATTTTTCCTCTGGAATCTGAATAATTGAGAATATAGATCTGGCTCTTCTCAAGCAAGTTGATAAATTTTCATTGAATTTTCGTTATGTGATCCATAGCTAGCATACTTTATTGGATGACAACCATGATTTCAATTAACTCAGCTGGAGTTTGAACAAAAACAACTGTGAATGGTTTCCTTAATACCTCTTTTTTTTATTTATTTATTTATTTAATCAAAGGAACAAAGTTGATCCCTTAATGCTTTAAATGTACTCTGTTTGAAACTGTTCATTTTGTTCCAATTTCTATTTTCACTCTAATGTTAGAGATTTAAAAGAGCAATCATTCTAAGGAGTTAGGACTGATTTAGATTATTTTGAAATCAAAAAATTTGAGTGTATCATAAAGATTAAAATTAAATCAAATTGTAAAACTAATAGAATTGAACTAAATCAAATCATGAGGGAACAGTTTGGTTCGTTTTATGTTTCTAGACTTTTTCTATAATTTAATCCAATATATATATATACAAAATGAAATACATAACATAATTTATAATAAAGTTGGACAGGGGCATATCCCTGAGTTGTGCGGGGCTCAATTGGTAGAGGCACTCTTCAATTGTATTGGAGCCCATGTTCGATATATCTCATCTTTTCCCTCCAAAAAAAGTATACTATTTTCGTTTCAAAATAATTGGGCGCTTTGGGAATTATGATTTTTGGACGGAGGGAGTATATATATATATTTATTTATTTTTAGAGATATAGCGGCATTAGCATGGATCCGAGAGGTAATCATTTGCTTTTGAATCGTAAAGAAAAAATAATAATAATAATAATATAGAATTGAATGATTTACTCAATTGAAGGCTAGGCTAGGATAGGCTAATCTCATTATGAAGTATTCTATTTATATATATATATATACACACACACATATATATAACGGTTCAGTTCAATTCAGTTTAATTATGCAGGACTCTAACGCTCCGTTTGGTAAGAAGAGGGGTTAATGGGAAATATGAAGGAAGAAATAAATTTTCTTTGTTTGGTAGAAATGAAGCAATGAGATAATAGAAAAATGATGGATGAGTCATCCTTTATACTTTACAAAATTTTATCCTTCCAAATATAGGCGGAAGATTAATAAAAAAGGTAAGGTTATTATAAATGTTTTTAAATTACAAAATTTTTCTTATAATTAACATTTTCTTTTTTATTCTTGCAGATTATCTTATTACCTTTCGTTTCATTCAACCAAAAAAAAAAAAAAAAGAATGAAAGACGCCATCTATTGTTTTATTTATCTCTTCTCCTCTCTCTTCCATCCAAATTTCTTCCATCTTACTAAACTGAGCATAAATCAAAACCGAATCATTTATTAATAGTTTCATTTTTTTTTTTTTTTGGTTCAATTCAATTTGATTCAATTCAGCTCACTAGTTCAGCATATTGTTTTTACGTCCTTAAAATAGATAAAATAGTGTCATATTATAATCGAGTAGTATATTCGTGATTTAGTATTATCTCTCTCGATTTGTCAAACGTTTAGATCTCTTTCTTCAAATGAGAGAATTCAAATCTTAATATAGGTTATAGCTTAGTGATACTTCCTTATATTTTAAAATAAAAAATCGAGAATTCAAATCTCCAAATGAGTATGTGAGTAAATGTGTGCATTATTGTCCAAACTATATATATATATATATATATCCAAATCTTAGTAGTAGATCTTTATGTTAGATTTGCTTATGCAAGAATATCACAACAAAAGTTCCAAATCTTAACGTTAGATTTGCTTATCCAAGAATACGACTACAAAAAATAAGTTTTTCAGGAAGAGAGGACTGCAAACGTAGCCTTTTTTCCTGAGACATTTGAAACAAACTAATTTATCAAATTGGAAAACATGCAAATATATATATGTGTGTGTGTGTGTGTGTGTGTGTGTGAAGTATGATATGTACAATTCACCTTCTATACTTAATTTTATTCTTAAAATTAAATGTAATAAATAAAGTATGATTATGACGTAAGTATTTCTAAAATAACAATGGTTTACATAAAACAGTTACCGTATTAGATTTGTTTGTCCAGAAATAAGACTACAGAGGTAAGTTTTTAAAAAGAAGAGGACTGACGATGCCCTTTGTCGAATTGAGACATTCTTGACAATTAAACAAAAGTTACCAATCAAAATAAAAACATGCAAAAAATATGTGAAGTATGAAATGGACCATCCACCTACACCAACTATGATTTTCTTCTTAATTTTTAAATAGAACTCCTATATATAGTATGATATGACACAAGTATCTAAAAGATAACAATTATCTGCATGACACATGTATGGATAGTGAATTGAACAGTGCACCGACATGCATGCAAATTTATCCCAAATAAAAAATGGAATAAGTCTCTTTCCTTCCTAAGCAAAATCTTAGAAAAGAAATCTTGAAAATGTATACTCGCGTGCTACAACATGCATTCACATGCATCATTCGCGCGTGGTATAACATGCAGTCACAGCTCTCTCTCTACTTATATATATATATATATATACATGTACTTATATATTTATTTATTTAAAAAATAATAATTTTTGCACATAATAATTACACTGAATTGCTAAATCTACTCCTTTTAATAGATCATTTATATAATAAATATGGGAGTGAGTCATTCATTTACTAATTATGATGCAATAGTTTGCACGATAAATAATTCAAATCACGATAAATAATTCAATTCATAGTCAAGTCACACATATCGTCTAATTATTTGCTTATTACACCTATTTAAACTCGACATGAACTCATGACGTCTTAATTTACGGCTCACTCAAGAAGATCTCGTAACTATTGGAGCATCCGTGTGAATTGCCGCAACACTAATTTCATTAGCACAATTTTTGTTTGGTAAATTACAATGATCTCTCGTGAGGTTTGGGCAAGTTACATACATTTTGCATTTCCTTTTGTTAAGACACCTCAATAACCTTATACTTTGATTAGGTGTCTTTTTAGTGTTTAATTAGGTTTATCTCTTTTGTTTTTTTCTTTTCAATATATATATATATATAGTAATATAGTGTTTACAAGATGGGAAAAAGGGCAATAGTGTATTTTGGTTTGACAGATTTTTTTATTTATTAAGCTATTATTAAATTCGATAAGGGTACGAAAGATATTCATATTTTTAGGGGAGATTAAAGTAATAAAGTCTACATATTCTATTTTTAGGGGAGATTAAAGTAATAAAGTCTACATATTCTATCTATATGCAATTTTTTCAAACATCAAGGAGGTCAGTATAATTTATATATTTTTTGGATAAATTATAGTGAACTCCTCTCTAGTTAGATCAAATTACACATGACTCCCCTGTCAATTCAGACATTTATAACAAATTGTCCTATGCCTGGTCAACCATGTTTATCATTATTTGCTGTCAATGTCATCCAATTTAAACTTTGGATGTTGATTTTATACTTATTTATGTGAAGAAATTATTAGATAGTCTTTGCTTCGTTTAATATTTGGACTAATTTAAGGAAAAATAATGTAAATTTTTTTTATAATATATTAATAGAGAATTATAGATCATTTTTTTAATTTAAAAATTTAAATTTAACTAATTCACCAAGTATCAATAGATAGGATCATCAATAATTTCTGAAAGTATAGTCTCTGATTGATGAGGTAGTATATATAGTGTGACGTTTGGGTACAACATGGACTTTCTAGGTTGCGCATTGGGTACATTTGGCAATTGACATTTGGTCAATCCTAAATTTCTGATGAGAGTACTCTACTACCCTGGCCCACACGGGCCAAACCCGACTCCCAACTTTGGGTATCTTTTTTCAATTCTAATACATCAACACAAGGCACTGATAGCACCTAAATCCAGTTAGCCAGCTTATGTCCAATGCAATTCCATCTAGAATCATGAAGGTTCAAGCCCAACCATTTTTTATTTTCTTTAAAAACCAAGGCACACACCAACACACCCACTTGAAGAGCTAGGTGCCCCAAGCCCAACCATTTTCCACAGTCTGGTCTGTTGTACTTTTTTCGATATAGTAATTTTTAATCTTTGTTTTCTTAGGCCTTTTCAAACAATAGCAAGACGGTCTTTTTTTAAGCCCATTAAAGGCGTTGGGCCTGAAAATGTTTCATCATCACAGCTTGGGCTTTGGGCCTAGCCGGTTTTAACAGTAAGGCAATTTAAAAATGCACAATGTGCCCAAGATGGGCAGGAGGGGGGATAGCCCAACAAGCTTGGCGACCCAAAAATGGATTGTGATCAAAGCCCAAACAGATAGGCCCAACAAAACGACATTTGAGATATCCGAAAATGTCATTTGATTATATTCAATCATATTAATATAATTTTATTATATATATAACTAAAAATTTTACATATTTGATAAACAATTAAATATACATTTAATTTACTATTTCTAAATTTATATATATGTATAAAAACACAATCGCACATAAATACTAGATATATATAGTTTAATTATTCTAAATTTGAAAAAATAGCTACTGAATTTGCAAATTAGAAACCTAAATGCTTTGTTAAATATTTATTCAAATTTAACAACTCATTAACCAAGATATTGTGACCAAGGCTATGTGATCTAGTAGTATCTTTTCTATCTTTTAAAGTGGATAGTGATAGTTCGAATTTCTAAATGGACAAAATAAGTGTGTGAATATTTCTAGCCAACAAAAAAAATAAATAAATAAATAAAAGGAGTGGATTTTCAGTATATTATTTTCTTTGCATCTCCAAAATCCCGCAGCTTCTTAGAATTGCATATTTTATCACGTTGCTTAAAACTTTTGT